CATCTCTCCTAACCGACAAGATCTACATACAATCAAATGTTTATCTTACCAGGGAAGAAATATGCATTCCTTCCTGTCCACATTCCTGTTTATATTTGGAACGAGCTCTTAAGTATGATTCAAGGTTTAAGGTTACTACAAAAACATTTATTTACAAATAAGAATTATCATATGTTTAATGTTAAACTGTTTTATCACCAACCATAAAGTTATGATAGAATGAATCAGCTTGTTTTCTTCGATAATGCAAGTTCACTTTTTTTAAATATTAACGATATTTGGTACGAATAAAATTAATATATTATTAAAGGATTATTAAATAAAATAGACGCGTACTAGGCCATCACAATATAGCATAATCAATTTTAAAACTTCGACAAATTTTTCCTCCGATTTTTCCTGTCAAAATTCAAGCTGAAACAAAGGTATTTTGATTCTATAATACAGAAAATGGTATGAATAAATAAAAAAGAATAGGTTGAAATAGGAGAAACTAACTACATAGTGAGGTCATCCAACAGGTAGAGGTTCAATTATCGAAAATATAGATAAGTAAGCAAAAATTTTCAGATTTTTTTTGCCTAGATTCTTGAAGCATTTAGCCAAGTTATAAAACAGGGTGATTTCTCAGTGAGGTTTGCGGTTGCGGTGTGATTTCTGCAACTTGGTCGTTTTTTTTTATTTTGGTCCGCATATCCTTGATGTTTTGGAGTGTCAGAATTCAAAAAACCCACTTTTGAAGATGCCAAAAGTACAAACTGAACAAGGCAAAACAGCGCATATAGTCAAGCCAAAATTATCGGAAAGGGCCGATCTATAAAAACTCTCGAACGACATAAGATTTGCCGGTATTCCCTCCACTTGTCTCACCCCAGGCGTGATGATTTATGGAAAGAACGGCAAAAATAAACAAAATAATACAATTAAAGAGCGGGTCGGTTGAGTAATAACATTAAGTATGCATTGACGGTGAAATAATACTGGAGAGGATTCTTTGAATTATCGGGTGCCGATGGTCTGGAAACACTTATTCATTAAGGCCAATCAAAAGGGCGTTCAATCCGACCGTCTTTTAACCACTTACTTAATTAAATATCTCGTAATACCATGGAGTGGGAATGGAACGACTTTACCCCACTTAAAAACAGTTGGATTGAATTAAGGTTCAATGTACAATTCTCTCGTGGCTAGTTCAAAGGTACAAAAATTTATATCTTCATCTGCAAAATCCTGAACGTTCTGGGAAATAGTCCAAATTGCCATTTCTCAGTGGGGACGACGTGAAATTTGACATAATGTCTGTGGTTAGTTAAAGAACGTCAGGACCGTATAATCACAGGAAAGAGGCCTTATATCCCCCTCACTATAATTTACAATGGTTGTGCCCACCGACGGTGAAATGGATTAGACACCTACAGAATCACTCCTTCACATTACAACAGTCTCATTATTTCACTTGAAATTATCATTCAACGCAAAACAGCCTTCAAGGCTGAGGTAGAAAACAACGGTAAAATGTATCTAATTACGTTTTTTTACCTCAATGAAATTACTCTTGGTTTATATTAAAATTAATAGAAGATATAGAAATATACTTTCCATTCGTCCGCCTGTACTCGTCGGTTTTATCAGTCAGACTCCACGTCCAGATGGTACACCCAAAAACAGTCAACTCAATGAAGGTTTTCCATCGCTGCTTATTTATTAAAGTTTACCCAGCTGCGTATTTATTTTTCATAATCAGGCTTTGGTATCATCAAGTTAAAATTATCACTTTACAATCCACAAGCAAGTAAGGTTTCAGAATTGTTGACCATTTTCTGGCCGTAGAAAGCAAATATGTGAATGAATACTTGCCTAGAGTTCCTTAGATTTTTGACAGGGTTTGGGAAACCAAAAATCTTCCAAAAACAATTCCCATCCATTATTTATTATATTACTTTAGAATTTCGGTTTTACTACTAAGGTATAGCACTTTAGTTAGGAAAATGATGTCCAATCTAAGAAAAGAACTCATCAGAAAACCTGAATAACTATGAAGTCTTCTAGGACCGAAATATGTCATACTGAAAAAACTATCTATAAACTCACTATGACCAGAGTTCATCAATAATACATTGAAAAAACAGACTTGATGTGCATTGACCATTCAACAACATGGAGTTACTAACATCAACTAAGGTTATGTTATTAGTTTAGACACGAGACAGACATACTATAACCACAGTTTATCAATAATGCGTTAAAAATATCAACAACAAGGAGATACCGACATCAACTAAGGTTAAGTTCTTAGGTCTATACCTAGACCACAGACTGGCATATGTTGACCATAGTTTATCAATATTATTTGCTGAAAAATAGACTTGAATGCATTGAACATCAACCACAAGGAGATCCCGACTTCAACTAAGATTATGTTCTTAGGACTATTTCTAGACTACACTGATATATGTTAACAAAAGTTTATCACTAATACGCTGACAAAAACAGACTTGCCATCAACAACAATTGAAACAAAAACATGGATAATTGAACATCATCAACAAGGAGATACCGACATCAAATAAGGTTAAGTTTTAGGTCTATATATAAGTAGGTAACAGACCAGCATATGTTGACCACAGTTTATCAATATTACGCTGAAAAAACAGACTTGATTACATTGAACATCAACAACAAGGAGATGCCGACTTTAACTAAGATTATGTTCTTAGGACTATTTCTAGACAACACTGATATATGTTGATCACAGTTTATCACCAATACGTTGAAAATAACAGAATTGACATCAACAACAATTGAAACAACAACATTGAACAATTGAAAATCAACAACATAAGAGTTACCGACATCAACTAAGGGTATGTTGTTAGTTAGGTCAACAGACTGACAGAATATAGCCACAGTTCATCAATAATGCTTTAAAAAAAAGGGGCTTGATCTCTTTCATTTACCATCGACGACAAGGAGATACCGACTCCAACTAAGGCTAAGACCTTAGGACAATACCTAGACAGCAGACATACTATGACCACAGTTTATAGATAATGCGTTAAAAAGAGACTTGATCAACTGGATATCGACAAGGAAATACCAATATCAACACAGGATATGTAATTAGGTGTAAAGTTATCACAACTACAAAGATTAAAGGACAATATTTTCGTCAATGAATCCTTTCCCAATATCTTGTTCTTAACAGGTCGACGTTTTCTTTGTCTCTGGACGAGCAGTTGATTTAATGCGGTCACCGAAGCCACCCCGCCCAAGGGGAAAAAGGGGGATATTTCTAAAAAAAAGATTCCCAGGAGGATTTCACTTCGTTTACTGCCTCTCCTGTCACACGTTTTATAAAGAAACTGGCTTTGCAAATCTATCCGTTTTTTTTCTCTTTGCCATTCTCTTTTCTCCTTTCATTCCCATTTGCCTGGTACTATACGCTACCAATCCAACAATAAATACACTATGAAAAACGTGAAGAGTGATACTACAAAGGCTAAAGAGAAATTAAATACATATAAAAGAAATCAAAACTATGATATATAAAAAAACGTAAAGTCAACTTCAATTAATTCATTGATGATAGGTTTTTTCCCGTTTGGTTATTTCATTTGTAAATGATGCCAACCTTTGGCCACGTCCTAGTGTTTGGGATTTATTAGTGATTATTAATACTAAGTCTAGTGAGAAAAAGTATTGATGTTGGTACAAAAAAGAAAAAAATATATATATACATATACAGGGTGACTTGCTACTCGTGCTACAAACTTCACCAGTAGATTCTTGACCCTAAAATGAACAAAAAAGTTCATATTGACCATGGTCCGATTCTCAACCATTTCAGAGTAATTTCGCTTTTTATCGATTTTGAAAGATATCACGTCCTGGCGTCGGAAAATCGTGATATCTTTTAATCTAAACATTTCTCTTAAAATCTATAAGCACCGTTGAAATCCCCGTTAATTTTTAGAGAGAATCAAAATCATAATTCCATTGAAATTTTTTAATTTAATTTAATGCCCATTTAGTATGTAATGCTTAAGAAGTTTACAAACAGCTAGAAGGTCAAGGAAGAAAGACCCAATAAGTCTTTTATTTACACAATTGGAATTAGGATTAATACCTAATAAGATAATGGTGTTTACTCACAACGAATGAAAAGATTTGAATTTTGTTCATTGTCTAAAGTGTACTCGTGCAGTTAACAAAATTTGTGATAATGTCTACATTTTCGTATGAAGAGTATGCAGATATGCATCTTGTTTATGGTTTCTGCGGTTGTAGCGCGAGAGCAGCGCGTCAAGAATATGGAGTTAGGTATCCTCACCGACGTTTACCTAGTATCGGTGTTTTCATTAGGCTCCACGAATGTCTCCGTAGAACAGGTAGATTCCCCACAAATTTACGCGAATTAGGTAATCAGCAAACTGATGTTGGTTTGGAACAAACGGTGATCGATCGGGTAATGGCTCAACCAGATATCAGCACACGAGACCTCGCGAGAGCATTCGGGATCTCCCAGTTCAAGGTGTGTGAAATTTTGAAAAAGGAAAAACTATATCCCTACCACGTTCAAAAGATTCAAGTATTGCATACTGGTGACAATTATCGTAGGAAGGAATTTTGTTGCTGGCTTGTACAATCTGACACTGAGGAACATCACTTCTTTCATCGAATTTTGTGGTCAGATGAATCAAATTTCACCCGAGACGGAGTATTTAACACCCATAATCTGCACCAATACTCCCATCAAAACCCACATGCAAGTCGTCAGCAACATTCCCAAAGACGTTTTTCAATCAATGTTTGGGCGGGAGTTATTGGAAATGTCCTCGTCGGTCCTTACTTAGATTTTCCGGCAAGATTAACTGGCCCAATTTATTTAAATTTTATCCAAAACATGCTGCCCACCTTGCTGGAGGACCTTCCTTTACAATTGTATATAAATACATTCCTTTACCAAGGGTTAAGCTAGTAATTCTTATTAATATTACATGTTGCTGTATATCTATGATATCTAATGCAGGATGTTTTGACGAATATGGGTACTGATGCAATTAGAGAAGATTTTCTACAAGGAAAATGTAAAGTTACACTGACACAGGAAGAACTTCAATCGATTGATGATCTATATGTTGAATTAACACCCAAAAAGGAAGAGCCTCGAGCTTTTGTTGTAAGTTTATTTTTGTTCCTAAAAAGTAATTTTTGAAATGTGTATGATGAGTAATTGCGCATTTGTAGGACATGTTTCAAACTCCGGCCGAAACTATGGTAGCTCTCATTGATGGAAAGAACAAAGAGGCTTTTGGAACTACTTACTCAGCCTTAAAGGCAAAACTTTTGGAGGTTGCAACTTCTGGCTACTTTGACACATTAGCACCAGCCCCATTAGCCGAAGAACCACCAGTTGCGGAAAATGTGTCTACTGAGCTTACTGATGCAGAAAAAATACCGGTATATCATTAATAAAAATTAAGATGTCTTTGAATAAAACCCAGTTGAAAAGGAAAGAATTTTATTTTTAGGAAATGATACCTGTTGAGCAAATTGAAGAAATGAATTTGAGACAATTAAATGAACAAACTCCTGTACAAAATGTGCAAAGTTGTTCCTTCCAACCAAGTAAGTTAATTACAATACAGTTATTGTATAACCAATAAGTTAATTACTGTCAAATGTTTTCTTTTTTAACATTATAATTTTAGCTGGAGCTAAACCGATGCCACTTCCACAAGTAATGACACCCCAGGATCAGTTTAATTTTGCACAGCAGGTTCAACCTGAAGTCATGCCTGGAGCCCCATCAATTGAGACAACATACTTTACCCCATCCCACTTAAGAGTATTTAAGTCTGGTACTATTGACTTCATGCAGGTTTGTAATTTTCCCAATGCATTTTGTTCAGAAACTTTCAATCAACAATGGGAAGCGGTTGCTTGATGATAATTTTGGATTCCCCTACATAAAAAACAGTGAATGAGAAAAACTTTCTGATTGCGCTTCTTAATATTTCAAACCCACTTTTTTCGTAATGCATTAAAATATACAAAAGACATTTGGGATGAAGGTTGTTAGATAAAAACATTTACTTTGGGAGAAATTCTTTAATAAAACAGTTATTGTTACTTCTCTATAAATTTACAATAACGGGTACAAAGAAATTATTATTTTTTACTTGATTGTGTATCTGACTGATTATTTAAAGTTAATACGATCAAAACTTTTGGCTTTGTTCTTCACTCAGTTTTCCCATATTCTTCAATAACAATAATCTTTGTGGTTGTCTTTGATATACTGTGGGTCCTTGATTAATGTTGTTTCTCAAGGAACAAGTCAGTCTCTCTCTCTCTCTCTCTCTCTCTCTTCTCTCTCTCTCTCTCACTCTCTCTCTCCCTCTCTCTNATGGACAATATGAACTTTTTTGTTCATTTTAGGGTGAAGAATCTACTGGAGAAGTTTGTAGCACGAGTAGCAATTCACCCTGTATATATATATTTGTCAATCAAATGACCAGATTAAAAAACCGTTTACAACTTGAAACTTCCTCCCTCGACAATATCTTTTATTAGATAACGTCAAGTTTGTGAGTACAGATAAATCATTGAGTATGCACAGATAGTGTAATAGATAAGTAGATGGTAAATAAATAGTATTGACAACTGTCGTGTAACATCGGTATGATCTATTTCGGTGGCCGTAATCACTCCTTAGATCAGACGAGCCAGTCGAAACTGGACGTATCCAACAGGTTTAAACATCACGTATTCGGGCACCGCATTAACAAAGCTGTCTCCTGACCCAAGGTGGAAAAAAACTACCGGCCAGATGTCCTCATTAGTCAATTGGGCCGCGGGGAAGTAAGCCCGGGCCACCGACTATAAATACCGGAGGAGGCCATACTGTAATTGATCGGGAGGGAGAAGGAGCAGGTTTTTGCCTTCTAACACGTGTCCCTATTTGCATACCGACTGTTTACATTAACTCGCCGTCCGTGCTACTACACCCCTATATATTTATGAACGTGGCCCTCATACCCTCCCACTACATCATTCAGGGATTATTCAAAATCTAGCAATTGATTACCAATTTATGCCGCGCGGCTCTCTTAATTTTGAGGAGGCATGTTCATGTATGCTGTTTTTATTGCCTCTGCTTACACGTTTGCCGGTATTAGCTGACTACAACATAAAAGCTTGCTTGTATCATGGTCGGTTTAACCTCCTGACTGGGATTGTCAGAATTTTTCTATCTCCAGTGTTAAAACTAATTAACTTATTAAAGCACGATTGACAAAATATCACACATCCCCTTAACTGGAAAAATTAAAACTAGTTTAACGCACTAAGCCAGCGAAGATACGCGGACGATCAGGCATTCAGGTCAAATCCCTTGCAGTCCCCAAGAGATCGGCTTTCAAATACATTCGACATACCATTATAGAAGAAGATACTTTACATACAGAAAGATACTTAACATTCAAGTAATTGAGATGATACCTATGCGTTCTCCCTTTGTGCCTTAAAATTTACTATTCCTTCTTAATATGATGCATTAAGTCTTCACTATGCTCAACATAATCAGGAAAGAGCATATATTATTTGCATGCAAGTCACTCTCAAAGATCACCTGATGATTCACGAGTGTACCAGCAGAGGACACAATGCCTACAAGCTGTACGTAAACGTAGACAGACAGCTCTCTATAGGAACATCGACATCATGGTAGGGATCGCATATTATTACAGAAGCCATCGTTTTTTACCAAAGCTGTATTTATTGATCGGGAATTACAGTTTTGCGCTTTCTTTTACAGAAAACATCATGTGCATGATCAGGGGCTATATAATTATCCAATCTGACTAGTCCATCTATGCTGGGCACATTCCAAGTCTAAACGGCTTAACATGTGTCTTGTATTTTTCTTTTAGCTAAATTAGTTGTATAATATTATAGAAATATATGGAAGAATTGGAAAAAAACATGTAATACTAAATATTGGAACCCCTATGTAATTAACTAAATTAAGTAAATGAGTCGTTTTGTTGTTGCAAAACAAGAACACGAGAAAAGTTTGAATTATAGCTTTCTTCCAGGGTTTCAATGTGATAAAAAACTGCACACTGGAAAGGTCTCTATTTCAACAGTCGTAAGTATCTAAATAAGAGATCGACGAGTTGAAAATGTGTTCTAACTGTATGTTCCAACAGAATTTATCCAAACAGATTCAGACTCCCCTGGTGAAACTTCATATTTTACGAATTCGCATGACAACATTTTAAGAGAATAAAAGGAAACCGTGTCCGTGACAATTCGTCCCGGGCGTTCTTCCCGTTTTATTTACGGGCGTGTCCGAGTTGAAGAAGGGGAGTTTTATGGGGCCCTCGTACACCGGAAAGGTCTCTGGAAATATAAAACGGAATACTTAAAGAGCGCTGATATCCGGCCAAGAAATATAAAAGACCTATGCAAAAGGGGTTAAGTTTAGTGTCGGTTGGCAAAGGCTTCAGAGGCAGTTCTGGCCATGGGCCAGGGCACAGAAAACACCTGTCAACTCGGCTGCAATTAGAGATAGCGGATCGGATGCTTTACAGCCTAATCTGAGGGTTCGCCGACTATTAATATTATTGCCGACGCTTATGCAAATTGCGCCAGTCGGAAGCATCGGCCGGAGTTAATGTGCGGATTAAAAAACAAAAAATTGGCAACGCTCTCGGCTTAAAAATACAATTAGGTCAGAATGCAAAAATCCACTTTGCTTTAAAACTACACACACACGCGCGCGCGCACATTTTTAACAACGTGACCCTAACCATCGTCAACTATCTTTTTTGTCCATCAACACTAAAACAACAAATTATTTCTTTTTTAAATAAGAACTTACTCGGAGTCTTGATAATATTGAACTAGAATGCTACAGGAAGAACATTCAAGGACTTCTGGTCTTACTTGTAACCCATATTTAAGCCCAATCGACTGATCTATTGTACAAAGATCAGATGAACATTGCACAAATGCTCACTTTTTAAAAATTCTACAGGTTAGATTATACCGTTTTTATTTGTTAAATATACCGATCACTTTTTTACTCAAGAATAATCTGGATAACCGTAGATCTTGATGAAAAAGCAAATTAAATTGTTTCTGCCAAGCTTTCGACCCATTTTAAGGTAATTAGGGCAAAACAATCATAAATATGTCTACACATAGGCATAATTAACTTTTAAATAGACGATTTCAAATTTCTTTGAAGAACCACTCAGTTCGAACATTGCCGAGGACTAAGGTTACAGTCTATTAAATTTACATGTTCAACTTTATTCCTTTGACAAGGTTTAGCACGAAGATTTAATAAATAAACTTTTTTAAAAATTATATCTTCCTATCTTTGTTAATGAAAGTAAGGACGGCGTACCACAAGGTAGCGTCCTCGACCCCCTGATTTACTTACTGTATACACTTGACCTTCAACTGATAGAAATCATAACCGTCGCAAAATTTGCTGATGACACAACTTCCCTCTCATTTGAAAAACCTATCAACGCATGCACGAACCGAATGCAAATAGCAGTCAACATCATCCTTGAATGGACAGATAGTTGGAATGTCAAATAAATCGCCAGAAATCCTCACATGTAAATTTCACAAATAGAAAATTTCAAACCAATCGTCTTCATTGGTAAAGTACTTCCTTCCCAGAATTCAGTGAAAAATGTATGCATAACAATAGATTAAAAAAATCATATTAGAAAGCACATTTCAAATACCATCAAGTTTATTGTTGCTGAGAAAGAATTCACCCCCAATACAAAATAAAATATGAATTATAATCACATTTTAAAACCTGTATGGATATATGTGGTATACATTTTTCGATGGTGCCGAAAGAAACTATACAATCTCAACAACCGTTCCAAAATAAAGTTCTACAAAATATGGCAGAATTATCCTTGGTATGTTCCGCAATACCGACATACAAAGAGATCTGAACAACCCGCACATCGACATTAAGATCACACGGTATGCATACGAGCATTACCTACAACTACAAAGCCCCAAAACCGAGGCCAGCCCATATTCAGCACATCATAAGATGATTGAAGAGGACAAAGCCATAGCAAGTTACCAAATTATATAAACATCCTTCTATTACAATAATTTATATTAAAATTTGTGATTTTTTAAAATTATATATTATATCGAATTAAACATTAAAAAAGTTCGTTTTTTTATTGGTGCGAAACTCTTGTTTTAATTACATTAAAAAGATGAACTATTAATTAGATTAAATTAAATTACTAATTATTACTAAATTAAATTTCTAATATTAAATCACTAATTTCGTGGTCCGCTTGACCAATTAATATATTACAATTAATTAAGGTTTTTAGTTGAGATAAAAAAGTCAATACATTGAAAAATGGCAAAAAGGAGGGAAAATTCAAAAGGGGCGGTTGAGATGGGAAGTTGGTGTCCGAGTGGATCGAGGTCACGATAGCTCAAATGGTAGAGCAGCGGCGTATCAAGCCGAAGATCGTGGGTTCGACTCCCGCTCGTGCCATTGACTTTTTTTTCTCAACGAAAAACCTTAATTAATTGTAATTAATTAGAATTTTGATATAATGTTCTATCCGTTAACAAGAAATAAGATAGAAAGCTTAAGTATTTTCTACGGTGAACATAAACAGATAAACTGATACTAATGAATGGACTACGTGTATTTATTTCTAAATTGCCATTGTAAAATTAATAGACCGTTTCATTTGGTTTAATAAATAAATGTAATAATTAAAAAAAATTATGGCGTTTTCAGATTTTTTTCCAATTAATTAGTTAAAAATATTAGTTAAAAATTAAGAAAATGATCAACTTTAAGTATTCCTACTGAATAAAAATTTATCCACTTTTATAATTAAATAAAAATTATGTTTAAGCTTATTTGACTGCAAAATTGTCCATCTATGCGGTCAGGGCTTTAAAATAGACAGGTCAGCTAAAAAAACTAAATTTTTTAAATATATGCCATCAAATATGTACTCACAAAACAGGAGAAAATCACATGGCTTTTCTGCATATATAAATTTTATTTCTTAAAATTAACCAGATGAACTAATCATTTGAGAGCTTAGGTTCGGACGAATAGAGATTCTTCAAGTAAAAGCATTAATTTTTTATTGTTATAATTATTCAGCACCTTGTTAGTGCTGCACTTTGAATTTCCCTTATTTCCTATTTAATATGCAGTTTACGCTTTGTTTTCTTTTCTTCTACATTGTTAAAAGTTAGTTTTATTTTAGCCGGAAAAAGAGGTTTGAAGTCGTTCCATCTCAAACTCATGAGATTTGCATAATTCTTTTTAATACGGACCGTTTCATCGCCTGTAGCATGAAAAAGATTTCTTTTTTTTATTTGTTTTTAAGGGAGAGGGTTCGGATTTTACAAGTCGTTTTTATTGAGAGATAAGAAAGCAAAATAAACTGAATAATAAATAATCCGCTCTAAAGGAAAAAAAAATTCACACAAAAGGAAGTTTATACAGCCCTTCGGGGATTTTTCCATCGAGACGAGGGAAGAAAACGCATTATTTAATTTAACCCCCGCCCGACGCTTATTTTTTTTCCCCGGTGGTAGAAAATTGAAAAGGCGGCGAAGATGATTGTATGAATAATGCATGCCGGTGTACATAACTCATGTCCCGGTCGTTAGAGACAAGCTAATTAACGACAAGAGCGGGGAAGACGGTGACGATGTTTAAAAATTCCGGAGGAGCAGAGCAATTAAGGGCTTTCAAACAAGTCCCCTGTTTATGCTAATCCGGTCCAGGATTTATAAGGGATGTTAATTGGAGCTCGCCCACTGGTTTTAGTTGTCGCCGCCGAAGTAGTGAGCACGGCGTTATACAGATACACGTTTTGGCCTTTTTATCCTTCAGGTCGTGGATTTATTGGCCTTTGTAGTTCGAAAGTATTAATTGAATACTTTTTTTAACCTCTTCCTCGATAAGGTTTGCACCCACAATGATTGTACTTTACATACAATCTTGTAACGCTTACAATTTTTTTTTCAACAGGCCAAATCGCAAAACAAGACTACCAGGGATAATCAGTAACAGAATATCTTTCAAGGAAAAAAATCTTTTAAGCAATTAATAATGAATTTCCTTTTATTATAAGCCTGCAAACATTTAAGTTTTAATTTAAATCCAACAAATTTTAAACAACCGGCCACCAAAAATAACACACTTAGATCCCATAGTTTTGTCCATGAAATAACACTTACAAATTTTTTCAACAGATCAGAAGTAAAAAATCGCAAAACAAGACTACCAGGGATAATCAGTAACAGAATATCTTTCAAAGAAAAAAATCTTTTAAGCAATTAATAATGAATTTCCTTTTCTTATATGGCTACAAACATTTAAGTTTTATTTTAAATTCCATTTTAATACAACAAATTGTAAACAGCCGGCCACTAAAAAAATCCATGAAATATACTTAAATGTTTTTTCAACGGACCAGAAATAAAAAAAATTGGAAAACAAGACTACCAGGGATAATCAGTAACAGAATATCTATCAAAGAAGGAAAAAAATCTTTTATGCTTATTAATTTTTAATTAATAATGAACTAACAATACAAAAACAGATTCAACAGTTTTATCCATGAGATATTCTTTTTTTAACTGTTTATTTTTATACTAAAAAGAGCATTAATATTAAATGTTTATTTTAAACAATTAAGATCCATGAGATAGTTTTAAACATTATGTTGTAATAAAAAGTATTGACTGTTATCAAAATCCCAAATCGAAACTAAACCTTTTCAAAATGTAGGATTTATCATTAAAGAAATATGCTGTCGCTTTTTTAGTACTAAATAGTACTCTTGTAACAATCAGAGGTAATTAAAAATTTATCTGACGATCCCTACTCGAATTTAAACAAGTTTGTCAAGATTCTGTTAATGTTATCGTATTTGGTTGGTTCAAAACTAAAAATAACGCACAGAAAAATAATAAAAAATCGAAATAAAGTAAACCACAATCTTGTATTAACAAGGCACAAATTGTCTAAGTGTAAATATAAAATTAAAGTATAAGCGGCAAAAATCGTCCTTATTCCAATTGTATTATGTAAAAGTGTTTGAATTGTAAATTAAACTGGCCAAACTGAATAGGCATATTATACTGAATAAATAAACTATGTCGTCTTTTACATAATTATCTTGTTGCATATTTTTACCTCTTGCCAACCGGGTCGATTGTTAAATCGATAAATATTTGCTAAGATTTAAATAATGAAAATTGCCTGTAGGGGATCTATTTTATCATTTATGATTGTTTGGAGATCGTGATTGTTCATTAATATTGTTTAGAAAAATTAAAGTATGTCAAATAGTGAAGTACTGTTAACAGAAAATTATATTGAATATAATTTTTTTCCAAAGTGAGACCTCTCTAGGTAGAGAATTAAGTTGGGACTTGGGACAATGAGAAGGGCATGCAGTTGGTTAATGATTTATGGTTTATTAGAGATGAAATGTTCAACATGCAAAACTATCATAATAAAAGCCATGCGGCGATAATTCAAAACGTATTAATTAAAGCAGTGCTGGACAACTCACCATTACGTAGTGCCTCTGCATTTCCGTTTTTTCTTGTGCAAGTTTCTCGATCTCCATTTTAAGACTGCAGACAGACACCACGAGTGGTGGCGGGGGAAAACAAACAAAAAGTGCAAGGTTAATTGACGGAAAACAAAATTAAAAAATTTTGGGATGGCGAGGTGCCTGGGGGCCATGCTTGTTGCGAGCAAAGCGCAGCCACACATGTTAGTATCGGTTAAACAAGAGATTTGTCACTCCTTTCGCTGTTATCGTTTTCCCCGTTTTCCAACAGCGCACAGCCGTCCTTTTGAATTTTTTTTAATTTAATTGAGAAAAAAATACTTGCTTTTTCTCCCTCCCCCCCTTTCACCCCTTTGTGTGTAAAAAGCTGACTCGACGGGACTCAGAGTAAACAGAGGGAGGTCTTTAATTTAGTGGAGAGGGAGCGTCTAAATGTGTTTGCTGTGAACAACAGCTTCCAGAGTGTTTGCTCACGGAGAGTAGGGCAAGAACAAATATTTAGACAAGATATTAATTATTTGCTCAGAGCAAACGGGGAGATAAGACGGCTGTGTGCGTTGAAACAGGCAGAAGCGGTAGCTAGTCGAGCGAGGCCATGGCCTCACTTACCATCACATAGTGCCTCTGAATCTCGATTTTCTCGCTAGCCAACTTCTCACACTCCATTTTCAAACTGAAATTGCATAATTAGTTAACACAACAAATGAAATTTGACCCGGATTGATGAATAATGGCCCTCAGTGTTAGGAAATAAAAGAGGATCTTTGGATTAATTGTCGTTGAGACATAAAAACAAAACTATATCATGACAACTTTCAACAACGAAATCAACCAATATTGACTTAAAGATTTATAATCAAACTTTCTAGAACTATATAATTATTATTCGCCCTCTAGAAAACGCAACTGAAAGATTTCAAGAGCAACATTATTTAAAAATTAACGTTATTGGACACTGTAAACAACCAAAAGAATGTAACAACGATTAACAGCATAAAGACGAATTTAGGTTTTTCAAAATCTACTGGCTAGTTTCATGGCATTTTCACAACACACCGACCAACTGGATACTCCTGATACTTGAGTAATATCTACTTCTTGTTTACTACTCCATTTTACTGCAAACCATTAAAAATAATTTATCAAAATTCGTCCAGCAAAGGGTTTCACAAAAACTGTCACTGTTGAGACTTGAGCATTGTTGGAGCTACATTTAGGTCATATACGATCATTCGTGAGAACACTATTTACAAAATAACAGACTCACGAAGAAATGAGCTTACCTGGATTTAGCCCATAAGGTTTTAACTGATTGTTTAATACTAACTTAACGTTGTTTGACATCTCGTCCGTGACACTAAACTTAAACAATTGGACTTTAATTACTTCGCAGAACGTATTTTGCCACGCTATAGGTTCTGGTTCGAATCCCGGCTCGGCCCATGGAATTTTAATTGATCTAAATGTCGGAAAAGTATTATGAAGTGGTGCTGGCCCCTCGTTCAAGATCCTCAACTGGCAATTGAACTTTAAGCCCTTCTGTACGACAGGAATATTGCTTACTTTTATCAGCTTTCCTGTATTGCCTATGCTACATTAGGATATTTATATAATCAATTGTTTTGAATTAATTTAATGAGATTCGACTGTTTGTTTCCATAATGGTTGTTTTAATAATACATGAAAACAATTTTGGCTTATAAATTTTCAATTGGCTCCCACTTGTTAGTCCAGCTTACAGGGAGAACAAGCGGCCCTGAGATCAATTTTTTTACGAGGTTCGCAGCAGCAGAGGTCATATCAACCCTCAGGGTGCCGGAGTTTTCGAAAAAAAGCCCATTTGTAAGTATGTCGGGTTCGAATGCTGGATCAATTTTAATAACTTTAAAACACTAAACATCAACAGCAAATAATACTTAATCGCTTGCTTAGACGTTTTTCTTTCAAATTTTACCCTAATAATTTGTACAATTAAAATATTAATTATATATTAGGATGCAATTTGCAATTGTCCATCCTGCATCATAGTAATTTTACAATTTACAAATTGGCAATACACTGAGCCACAGCACCAAATACCCCAGATTTAAAATGGCATTGGAATTCCGAAAGTCTTCCAGTTTTAAAAAATACGATAGTCCTGTCGACCAGAGACACAGTCGAACTTATGCTTGACATATTCTGAATGTGTCCCATCACAAAAAACTTAATTTATTACAAACTCTCAGGAAACGAGTTGGCATGAAAAGATGTTTCAAACGTTTTCATTTCGAGGGCCCTTCATTTTTTTAATATAAAACAGCAATGGGAAATGAACTCCTTATCGTTAGTTCGTATTTAATCAAATCAAAATAAGATACTTGAAGGGAAATGGAATGAGAGACGACAAAGTAATCTGTCAGTACGTTGCCGTGGAGTGGGCAGGAAATTGAATAATCTGAGAACCTGAATAATGAGAGAGAAAGTTGGCACCTCCTCCGCCGAGAACGGCTCCCTTGATTAATGACCTTTTCGTACACTGTGTCCGCTTCTAAATACAACACGGACCCGTCAACACCGATTCGTCCCAGGGAGAAAAAAGATCCACTGGATGAATCGAGTCGATAAACACCTCTAGGGCTTTGAGGGGATGAAGCGGGCCCAGTGTGGTGGCGGAGAGGATTAGCCCTGGGCTGGTGGACCTGCGGTAAACGCGGTCTGAGTGGTCACTCCGACCGCAAACTGGGCCGACTTAGCACCGCCGATCTTATCGGAGGTCAAAAAATCCCTAGTAACAGTTCACGTTGTACGCAAGATGCCCACATCTTGCAGACAACAAGAAGATTCGCAAGGTCCGCCAAAAATATTCACTCGAATGTTAAAAAATCTCAGCCCTAGATCTCATCTTTAATAAAGAAATTATAAATAACCATAATCACCTAATTACGTCGCACGTTATTTAGAAACTGATAGTACTCTCGACATAAGCTCAGAGTGGGTTCTGTCAACTGGTGTGCGATTTCGAAAACTTTGAGGTTAGGCTTTCGTTAATAGTATGGTAGCTTCCGATCATTTTGGTCAGCCTTATCCTCTCTGTGTTTCTTTTAAATCTGTCTGCGCCATCTTCAGTGCCGGCTTTGTCTAATTTTTCCAAGGAATGCATGGTCGTCAGAAAGACCAAAACGCGAGGACAGGAAGGCTAAAGTAATGGGAAACGAATGCACTATAAACCTAACCTCAACGTGAAATTTTTTGTAGACTCTTCTTTTAAGTTAATTTAATCGGATTTGATGGAGATGTTCACAAAAGAATCAGATCCTTCCTTTCACGATGAATGGTCGAAGAACTACGATAAAAATCCAGTTCAACAAATGGTCTTTTTATTTACTTTTAAAAGTTAAAAAAGATTTATTCCATAAACCTTTGAGTAATTATCCTGAACACACAATTTTAACATGTGAATATCTTAGGTCGTTCACGTCTTGTCTTAAACAATAAGGTATTTAATACGACACAACGGTCGTGTGAAAACCATAATTGTCGCTAATGATAAAGAAGTCTCTAACAACAAATCTCTTGACAAAATTTTCCGCCTTAATACAAAACTGAGAACTACATAAATATAGTTGACCGTTCAGCAAATTATTTCATAGCATTTAAGTTAATGTACCTATTTGCCTATATATTCCTAGGCTGTAGGAATCCATTTAATTAAAAAATTAAAACTATTAAGGTTTTTAAAAAAAAGTAATGTTCCATTTTGTATTTATTCTAGTACTCTGATCATAGTCTGTATTTTCAAACTGTAAATCCTACTCGACATGATACTCCAATCTAATTAATTATACTGAAATTGAACCAGGCTAAGTGCAAATAACAAACCTTCATCGACTCCCTTAACTTCTAAATTCTGCTTAATCTACATTCATTGGTTAAATTCCTCTAACACTGAGGGCTTCGATAATTATAACTAAATACTTAAATCTAGTAAACAATTTATTTTGACGAAATGTCCCTTTTTTATATTGTTATTTTTTATTTTGCTTTTACAGAATGGAACATTTAGCCAAAATAGAGGAAATGTGTTGAAACTCACTTGTGGTATTGGGCCTGCAAGAAATTGAATTCTTCTTTTATCCTATCGCAGGAATCTCCCACTGTGAACTTAAATGGCTGCCCAGGCTGCGGTGGGCCCTGAAATAAAGATAAAATACGTTAGTTATTACAAATAATTTAAAAAAATGTAGTATATCATTATTTTTTACATGTACAAGCTTTTAAGTTTGCCATTTGGTGGAGTCAAGAAAAGCTGAACTTTTCTACAATCGCGAGGGCTGAAGAAATCGGGGTTAAGTGTATGCAAACTGAGTTTTTTTTCGCAACGCCTTCTCCAACGAGCCAATGGACCGCAAACGTAATAACCATAATCAAATCAAGGTAAAATTTGCCAATGGATAAATGAATCAGGCTTCACAATTCGGTAATTCATCTCCGGCCTCTTGAATAACAAAGAGATCCGGGAAATGGGAAAATTTACGCTCATGATGGGCCGTTTTCATAGGCAAATTTTCATACAATTCGTTCAAAAACTGTTTATTTTTTAACGGCGCTTTTAAGTCGGGAAAATTTGCCTTTCTAATAGATTGGGGTGATTAAAGTGTGAATTTGCTGCGACTGCCTTTCAAAATAAAGTCAATATTTAAATTTTTAGGAGAGAGGCGTCCCTTTATTCAAGCCATTTTCCGCCAGGATAGTATTCAAGTGCTCTTTAACCCATTGGATTTATTAAGAATTAATATTTATTATTACAAAATTACTACCAAGATAAACGAGTAAAAATTGATAATTTGTCAATGTTTCATTGAAAATAAATATTGAAAATCAATAACGTGCTGTAAGAACATACACACTATTATGAAAAAACAATATATTTAGATTTTAAACAATCCTGCGGAACAAGAAAATGTTAGTATTGTAAATATCCTCGTTTCTTTAATACTTTTGATTACTTTAGCACTTTACGTTTTTAGATCAAAATATTATTTCTGATTGGCTTATTACTTATTAAGTAACACATGTATATTAAAAATGTATCAGGGATGAGACTATCACAACAACAATCAATACCATGCATTGAACGTTCCAGGAATAAATCCCCTTAATGTGGAACAATTACTAATTTATAAGTTGTTGTTTTTTTCGGGACCGCACGATTCGAACCAGGGACCTTTACCTTACTAGAATGAGGCGCCGAGTCAACGACTTACCGTCACGGCCACCGATGCTTACCTCTTTAAAATGTTAAAAATATTAATAACATTTTAAAAGTTTGAAGGAAATGAAAAATTGAAATCATGGAATCAGTTCAAACATTTAACAAAAATTAATTATTCAGAAATCGTGAGATGCGGTCTGGTGTGATGTAGGTTTCAGAAAAACATTTTCTTTATCATGAAACGTTTCGATCTTTATTGAGATCATCTTCAGGGCCTGGGATTTACAAATATTGTTTACATTTACCAAATGCATGAAGGATGTGGAGAAAAGTGAATTTATACAATGCAAAATATTAAATTCACTAATTTCGTGGTCCGCTTGACCAATCAATATATTACAATTAACTAAGGTTTTTAGTTGAGATAAAAAATCAATGGCACGAGCGGGATTCGAAGGTGCGGTTGAGATGGGAAGTTGGTGTCTGAGTGGATCGAGGTCACGATAGCTCAAGTGATAGAGCAGCGGCGTATCAAGCCGAAGATCGTGGGTTCGAATCCCGCTCGTGCCATTGACTTTTTTATCTCAACTAAAAACCTTAATTAATTGTAATGCAAAATATATTTAATACTCAATCAAAGTATTTCCACCCACTCAGTGTTTGTCTTATGTGTAATTGTGCCATTCTTGTGTGTCGTGTTGAGAGTGCCAGTGAGATATTGCTGTTTTGTGTTTATATATGTTGGATTTTGAAGGGGTGGGGAAGGATGTCAGTATAGAAAAGATATTTTTGTATAAGGCGTCGGCTTCTTTGAGGTGAGAAGAGCCGACGAAGGAAAAAAAACGTTGGTAATGGTTCGGCTAGATTATCCATTCAGGATTATATAGAAGGGGATAAGTAGGAAAAGGAAAGATAAATTGTTGAAACATTAGACTATGTGAAAAATGTTTGATGTGTGGAATGTGATGAGATGATATATGTATGCTATCTATATTGAATTTGATTAATGATATTGGCGTAGCTGCGACTGAGTTTACATGTATCTGTTCTGTAATTGATGCTGTGTTTATCTCTGTTGATGCAAACCATTTCTAAAAAATTACGCTTATTTTTGTTTTGTTCTGTGGGTAATATTTTTGGATTGTTGAAGTCGAAATTGTGTTTGTGTTCAAAATGGTGGGTAGCGAGTGCTGTAGGATTTTGCTTGGGTTTTTTGCAATCTTAGATATGTTGCTTTACTCTCTTGTCCAGATATTGGATGTAAGACCGATGTAAGTTGCCAGACAGTTTAATTATACAACAATGTCTTTTCTATACCGACTTCCTTCCCCACCTCTTCAAAATCCAACATATATAAATACAAAACAGCAATATCTCACTGGCACTCTCAACACGACACGCAAGAATGGCACAATTACACAGAAGACAAACACTTTGAGTGAGTAGAAATACTTTGATTGAATATTAAACATATTTTGCATTGTATAGATTCATTTTTTTCCACTTCCTAAGGTATTTGTTAAATGTAAACAATGTTTGTAAATCCCAGTCCCTGAAGATGATCTCAATAAAGATCGAAATGTATGCACGATAAAGAAAATGTTTTTCTGAAACCTACATCACACCAGACCGCATCTCACGATTTCTGAATAATTATCGATTAACGGTCACTAATCACCACACATAAACAGTCAATGTTGTTAAAAGATAATTACTTGTGGTAAAAAAAAAGAGAGTTTTCGCCTTACTATATTATTTATCAGTATACCTAATTTAATTAAATTGTAATTTTAAATTTTATTATAATACACTTTATCTCAATGTACCATAACGTATGATGTTATGGTTGTTATGCCATAATTTTTATAAGAACCGTGTTAATTAGTATACTATTTTAAACTTGAGATATTTACAGAAATTCCTGCCATGTATCAGTTCTACTTTATTTTGTTTATATATTCAATAAAGAGATAAACTGAGATTTAAGAAGGAAAAATTCACACAGTGTTTTCTCTGAGAGAAGAAATAGCATTAGGGGTTTCCCGAAGCAAACAAGAAAAGCGAGTTGTTGTACATCCAGTTGGCCAAAAAAAACCGACTCACTTTTATCTGACATTTTCCCTTGGTTTTCTTCGCTGTGAATCAGGTCTATTTAGGTATGTACCCCGGCATCGTGATGGAAGTGTATCCAAGATTCCGTACAATTAAGTTACGAAATGTTTCTAACGTGTTGGATATTGACAGAGGTTGGGTGGAGAGAACTAACTGGGATTGATTGAGTTAGTACTCCCCCGGGCGATTGGTATTCAGGAACAGTGCCTGTTTGGTACTGCCGGCACGTACTCAAATAACAGTCCCCTACCCGACAGTTAATTGACAACAAGCTCTCTATATTTTGTAATTAAATTGGCTTTAGCCGACCCACCCTCCTCTCGGGGTTTTTTTGCATCCCGCCCTTGGCCAGAACCACTTAGGAACTCATAAAAGTAATTAACTCCCGCCCCCACTCTATTCTGAGCATCAATGATTTCAGTCTAATACGTTTTTCATTTCTATGATATTTTCAACTTTACCAGAAACGATGGACAAGAAAGAAAATATTTTTCATAAGATTTTAAGAGATCTTTATCAGCAATTTATATATATTTATGGTTAAAAACGACAATATTGATTTTCATAAAGACATTTGTCTGGGTTGTAATATTTCACAGGACCTAAGTGTCTTAGCGTGAGCAGAAAGTAAGAAAGCATATGAAATATTGACCGCGGGGAAAATTGAACGAGACCTATTGCCAAATTTTTGATGTAAAAATATAGAAAAAATTTGCGCAGACCTACATATAGTTTTGACACCTGCTTCGGGGTCAATTTTCACAAAAATGCAATACAGGAAGATGAAGTAAATGAGGATTCTGTGATAAGTCAATAACGATCTATTCAGTACGACTAACGGGAAGCTTTGTGTCAGAGGAGCACAGCTAAAATTACTCTATCAACACGAGATATAAATCAATATTGACCACAAGAACCAGCACATTATGTAGTCTTGAATTTATATTTCATACCTCCTCCTTATATTTACCGAGATCAATTTTTTAAGAAGTAGAAGTTGTGACACAATGAACAGTGACAAGGTGAATAATGAACTATCAACTGGAACAAGAAATTGTGGTGTGATTCAGTGGATGCAGTTCATGTAAAGCACACATCAATAATGACTACTTAAAACTGCAATTTGTGGATTTTCACACCTCTTTTAAATGAGTTTTCTAACCGTTTAGCAAGAAACGAAGCAGCGATTGCCTAGTATTGCCCCATAATAAGTCAATACTGGTCCCAACGGAATAATTGAAAGTTGTTTATTGTTAATTTGATTTAAGATCAATATTGACTACGAAAACTGAATGTTGTAAAGTTGTAAATTAGTTTGTCAACATCTCTTCAAAATAAATTATTAATTTTTAAAAGAATCCAGTCGACCAATATAACAGATAAGTCAATAATGATCTCTACAAAGTAAACTCTTGCTCTTTTCATTGAAGAAAGCTGTTTCATGATATTAGACCAACATTGACCACTAAACCTTTAATTTGTGCAATCCACCATTTGGACCCTACTTCTTAAATAAAATGCTTGACATACATTTTTACAGGAAATGGTTCGTCAATGTTAATGGGCATTATGAGATGTCAATATTGACCTGGAACTAATTGAAGGTCATGCTGACTGAGAAAAAAGCTGTAGGTTTGATGAGATATAGATCAATATTATATACACTTAATATACATTTGCATTGTATTGGGTTGTCCGGAAAATAATGCAGGATTTTGGTATTAAACAAAAAAAAAGAAACTAGTTACTTTAAAGCAATGTTCTTTAATCAAAATAATTTCTCCCAACGTGTTGGTAACTTATTAATTCCGTCTGAGTAGAATTCAGAATTTTTAGAATTGATAAAGTCAATAAATGCATTTTCCAG